TTGAAAACAGAAACAGTCAGGAATATGCTCATTTGAAAATGTGCAAACCTGGACTCATTTTTAGAATATTTGTTTTCTAAAGCAGGCATGCTGGTATTGTACAATTCCAGGACATTAGAGAAATGTGGTAACAGGAGGTTATCTGAGTATTCATGGCCAGCTAGTCTAGAATGACACGTTTCATTCACACGAGGAAACCTATCTCAATTTCACAAGTTTTAGTAAATATCTCCATCAAACCACTATTGGTAAATATGTAAGCTGTTTTACCCTAATGAATTTCCAACAACTCTAACTAAAGGCATAATTTTTGTAGTATATCCATTGCTCAAAAACGCACTTTGAGTAGAAAAAGGGCAATGAAACCAAACCCTTATGATAGTAGCTATTTGTAGTCTTGAGCTAATTGAGAAAGAAATATAGAATTATTATTAGCATAGCTCTTCATGTAGGGCACTTATGTACCAATAGATGGTTTATAATAAATGGACATACAACTTCCTTAAATATATACAATATACATTAAAGATAGAAAATATGGTTCAGATTTAATAGTGATTATGAAATTTTGAGAGGAATTCTATTATTTGGAATCTAGTGGATTTTAAAAACAAATACCTATAAATTTATATTAAGACAATATTTCAGGTATATTAATTACATATTGTAAGAAACATAATGAAAGAAGGTTCTTGCAATGTTGGGGGTGCAAATATCTCTAAGGTCTTAACAACAAAGCCGGGCAGTGGTGGCACATGCCTTTAATTCCAGCACTTGGGAGGCAGAGGCATTCTGATCTTTGTGAGTTCGAGTCCAGCCTGGTCTACAAGAGCTAGTTCCAGGACAGGCTCCAAAACCACAGAGAAACCCTGTCTCGAAAAACAAAAAAAACAAAAAAAAAGTCTTAAAAGCAGGCAAATATAAATGTTAATAATATAAATATATTTAATTTTTTTTTCAAGAAAAGAATTAACTTGAATTCACTTTTTATCGTTAAGACAAAAGGGATACTTTATTACAATCAGGTCTATTTCAGGAGGGCTTAAAATCAATATTTCTTTCTACAATACATCCATTGCCCTATACAACGTTCTAATGGACTTGAATATATTATGTATTGTAATCCAATTACATGAACCATTGTAATCATATATTATATTTATATATTACATATTGCATGTGGTATATAAAACATAAATAATTATATTTCAACTACATAAACAAATACATAAAAATAAACAGATCAGGAAAAAATTGAGAAGCCAGATGGAATTAACAGCGCGAAGTCACAATCAAAAAACTACAGATAGGTATGGAGGCTTTCATGTTTACAGCTAGAATCTAGGCAAAAGCAGCTGCAATGTTGCTGTGGCAACCAGTCTTAATTAGGCAGGTTTGTCTGTTGTTAACTGGAAGCAAAACAATGGGTAAATTATATTTTATCCTGTGTTCCCCTTCAATTGGCTCTGCTTCTTTTTACAACACACAGGGAGGAGGGAGACACAGATGAATCATCAGCTCCGGATGAGATCACGATGTAAAATGCAGTCTGTGCTTTCAGGTTTGAGAGCTCTCTTCTTATTGGTTCCTAGATAACATAAAAAGGACTGCACTGAGGGATTTTGCCAGCCAGTCTCCTGGCTAAAGTCCAGCGTTTAGCTGGAATTTAGTCAGGAGATTGGCTATAAACAAACTCAGAAAGAAAATCTGTTACAGAGACCTGCAGGAGACAGAAGCTATAGATACCTAGTAAAAGCACAGAATTTCTGAGATTCCCCATGCTTCTGGTAAGAGTCACCTGTTCCTGTTTGCAGTGCAGGAAATGTGCTCGAGTCGCTGAAACCACAGCTTCATGCTTCATATCTGTGATTTTTTGATTAGCCTTTGATTATTCATTTTCTGTAATCAAATTTTAGTTTGGGAGTCAATACCTGACAGAAACCGGGAATGTACTGATCATATGCCCCACTGGAGGAACCAATATGATAATTGCTATATCGAGGGATACTTCCGGCATCTCGGATTCTGAAAATTTCAAGTGGCAGATTCCACAGTTAGTGTGTTTATGGAGTATGACATGGCATTTCTGAATGTGATACCAGTAAGCTGCAATTGTCGGCGAGGAATAATAATCAGCCATCCCCAGGCAGAAATGTTGGATTTCAGGAAGATAGGCACGGTACAGACCCAAGAAGCGGGAAATATGATGAACTCCTAATTCCCCCGCAGTGCTTTCCCCTTTGATAATTGGATTGTGGTCTGAGATAAACTGCGTGTTTTATTTATTTTTTCTGTCATCCACTTTTACTTTCATTTTTTTTCTGCTGGACCACACCTTGATAAGGGAGGGAGAATGAGGCAGCAGCTCTGATGGACATCTCCATGGTTACCACAGGATTTGTTCCTATTGGTAGAGTGGAAATCATTCTTGTCTTTGGTTCATATTCCAGGAACTATTTGAAAACACACACTCCTGCTGTGTGAGGCAAGGACTTCTAATAACACTTTCAGCATAGCAGGTCCTTACTAGGCATGCTGTGGCTATATTCCATTTCTCAGCTGCTCATCCTTATAAGCAAAACTAGATTGTATAGCACTAAGTGGCAGTCAATGTTGAATTATTACATATTGGCCCTTAGGCATGTGTTGATGGCACCAGAGATGGTCCCATTGGATGTTACAAATATGAGTGCTGGATTTGTGAGGGAATTAGGTGTGAGAACAATATAGACATTATCTGAGTCACCTGGAATCATAGCAGAAAAATTCTTGAACGAAAGACAGCATTTCTGTGAATGGTATTGTGGCCAGACTTAAGGACAGATAGAAAGTTCATGGAAGGTATTCATCATAAAGCAATCTAGGGAAAGACAAGTTTATGCCTTGTGTGAATAATATCTATTGCAAATTTTCACTATGCTGCCCAATTTAACATGAACAGCCTAGCAAGAACCACATCTTTATTCCATTGAATGAAACAACCAAGACATGAAGAACTAAATTTTTGTACACTTAGGACCTATGTAGAAAATAGGTAGATATTCAATAATAGAAGCCTAAAGTGATCCCTGGTATGGAGTGAGTATCTTAAAGGCAGAGAAGGTAGTAGTATTTTCATGTCTTCTCTGAATACACAAGTTTAAAGCATATCTGTAGGTATTCTCAATGCTATGCTCTGTACTAATATAACAAATATGTCTAAGATTTTCAAAAGCCAAACTACAATGAAAAAATAGTGTTAACCTGAGGGATCTAAGCATCACGTGCATATGTAATCAAAGGAAGAGTACAGCAGACACATCCAAATCTCTGAATTCATGCATTGGTGGGATTAATAAGAAGTTCCACTGATGAGATCTAGGTGATGGATGTTGATAGACTCAGGGGAAATTAATTTGAATTTTGTACATACTATCAAATGGAGCATCATATTTTCATTTGCATATAACACATATATATCAGAGATATAAACGGTGGCAATACATCAGAACTATACATTTTCTCAGAATATCATACCTACATAAAACTTAGTTTCTAATTAGCTTTGAATATTATCACACTTCCTCAGAACAGGTGACAATGAAATTCACAAATCTTTACTATCTTTTGTATCACTGAAGGAGTATTTTTAATTTTTTTAAATTTTTTTAAGCTGTTTGGAAAAAAAAAATTGCCTCCTCCCCATTTCCCATTTCCCTCACCCTCCTCTGACACTTCGCCCCCTCTTCCCACTCCTCTCCCTCTCTCCCCCTCCCTCCCACTTAATTCTCCCTCCCTCTGGAGAATGAAGAGCATTTCAGATTCCCTGCTTGTGGGAAGTCCAAGGTACTCCCACTTCTATCCAGGACCAGGAATGTGAGCATCCAAACAGGCTAGGCTCCCACAAAGCCAGTTCATGTATTAGGATTGAAAACCTAGTGCCATTGTCCTTGGCTTCTCATCAGCCTTCATTTTCTTGACATTCAGAAAGTCTGGTTTCATCCAATGCTTATTCAGTCCCAGTCCTGCTGGCATTGATGAGCTCCCAATAGATCAGTTCCACTGTCCCAGTGGGTGAGTGCACCCCTCGTGGTCCTGTCTTCCTTGCTCATGTTCTCCCTCCTTCTGCTCTTCATTTTACCTTAAGTGTTCAGTCCAGTGCTTAAATTTGGGTCTCTGTCTCTATCTCGATCCATCGCCAGATGAAGATTTTTTATAAGTCAAGTTATTTTTAATTTTTTTTTAATTTTATTTCTATTTTATATGAATTGGTGTTTTACATGGGTAACTGTGTTAAAATATCCTATTCTTTCATATTATAGGAGGTACACTCTTCAAAATATCTCACCAACTGTACTGTGATATTTTTAGTTCCTTTCAAATATTTATGTAAGATTATGTATTGCATATGTTTATATGTGTTTCCTCATATATACATATATATATATAATTCATTTATTAATTGGTACAATTGCTTTATGTAGTTTAGAATATAATGTGTAAGTACAGTATTTATATTACTTCACAATTTTTCCTGCTACTTTCAGTAAAATATGTGCATTGGAAAATATCAAATAATAAAATAATTATGTGAAGTTATTTTACATTTTTTGCATACACAAATATATACACAACTACCAAAAATTGTATAAGGAATGTAGGGATTATATGTTACCATGTTAGCTTATCATTTGTATTTTCAAACTATCAGAATTATTGTACAGTAAAAGCTGATCTTTTCTGATTTTGCATGAATTTTTTGTTCATGACTTTCCTGCTATGTGTGGGAATTTGAGAGTGTTTGTAGCTGTGTGGGCATTAAAATTTCTCATGTCACTGTGCTTACACAATTTTGGATTTTTAATTAATTTTGTTAATTTTTTTTTGTTGGAGTTCTTATTTCCGAACCTTATTTTTTTCTCTTTAATATGTTCTCCTTAAGTGAGATGTGATGTATGCTTTGAGTTTGTTTTATTGCCTTTGGTTAATTAAAAAAAGGCCTTCAACCTATGTCTTTACAGAGTAAAGCCTGGCTGAAAGAAATGACAAAGTGAGTAGACAGATTCCAGGAGAAGCCAAGTAGCTGCTGCAAGAGGCAAATGCCTCAACAGCAACCTGCCAAAACTTTTCCAGTAAGTAATTGAACTAATGAACAGATTTATGAATACTAGTTAGTTTAGGATAAAATAGCTAGCTACAACACACATAGAGTAAGCAACTGGCCAAATAGTACTCAAAGAATAAAGTTTCTGAGTTATTATTTAAGTCAGGATGGTCATGGTGGAATGAACTACCTGCATGTCAACTATATCCTTCAACACCTGAGAATGAAGAAAAAGGAAAGCTAGATAAAAAGGATAGGTTTACACATAGATTTTTTGGTAGTAGCATTTTCTTGGGTGGGCTCTTTTTGCTAGCAGCAAGCAGAGGAATGATTTTTTTTTTTATTTCAGAGAATGCTTCCTGACTCAGTGGTAGCATAAAATCTTCAAGACTTATTAAGAAAGCATCCTGGGTCATGTTAGTTTCAGGATCAACTATAAATCTTTCTGGTTGTCTGACTGCAGAACATTTATCTGGAGTTTGTGAGCAGAGTTCTACCATTTACTTAATGGCAACACATATCTGATGAGACACAAGCCTGTATCTGGATCTGAGACAAAGTTCTCAAAGGCAGTATACATGCCTTCAACATGTTTGATTGAATGGAACTGACAGGCAATATGGCAGAGTTAATCCTAGCCTTTTCCACTTAGCATTTAAAAAGCTTCTGGTCAGAAAACAGTTATAGCAATAAAAAGAAACAACTCATTGAAAGTAAATAAAGTATTTAAATAGACAGAGTATAGACAGTCATAGATTAAATGAGTAAAGAAAAATAAGTCATATAAAGATGAAAATACACAGGGAGACTGGCTCATGTATATTATTGTGGATTATTTTTGACTGTTAAGTACAGAAAGACATTTCATAGTATGTAGTGCTAATCTAAACAAAATGTGTGCATTAAACTTATCTTGACTTAAAAATTTGGTTATAGGTAAGAATATTTGCTTTGGAAAAGAGCTTATACTTCCTTTGCAAGGAGAATGGAAACCTGTGGATTTCTCAAGATAAATGTGATTCAAGGGAAAAAGATGCACTTAAAGATCTAAATAAACTCCTCCAAATACTTAGCCCAATAAACAGCAGGAAGAAGTTAGGAAACAGGTATGACCAAAAAAATTTTTTATAAAATTTGGTTACATTTAATGCATGATACACAATCGTGATATGCATTGGTATAGATTTTGGTTTATTAATATAAATTTAATAAATTAGTTATATATATATTATAAATTACATATATATATATATATATGTATATATATATATATATATATATATATGTGTGCGTGTGTGTGTGTGTGTGTGTGTGTGTGTGTTTCTGCTCCTGATTAAGGTATTGTATTGTGCAGCTAGTTTAAAATAGAATGTATAATTTTGAAACATAGGTTAATATAGAGTCATCTATAAGAGTCAAGTTTGTTGTCAGGTTACTTAGCTTTTCTACAGTTACAGAGATATATTTTAGATGGAAAGTTATTATTTGAGCTTCTCAAAGTTTAACAAAATATAATATTTAAATGTTTTCAAAACTTAGGACTTTTCATGACATTGTGACACATACTCATCTGCTCCTGGTAGCATCAATTACTTCAAGAGGAAGATGGGCATCTAGCAGGCTCCTAATGGAGTTTGCTAGCCATTTGTGCAAGAAACTGTTTTTGCCTGGACTGCTTAATGATATCTTGTATTAATTATACAATATTAGACATGCTGGACCCATAGAGAAATGTCTGCTAAAGTTGCCTAGAGAAGGTGAGAGAAGACTTTAACAGATCCTGCTTTATGAAAGTGTCTGTAAGTCAATCTGCAGGACATAGAAGAAAGTGACTGACAAACTGCCATTATAGGGGGAACTGTCTTTGGAATTTCTTGATAAAGTCTGCAAGGAACTATGGGCCAGTAAGATGAATATAGGTGCCTATAAAGTTACATAATATCCTTGAATGACTGTTCAGGCAGTCAGATGACTTTCTTAATTCTAGAGTTTTGGAAATTGCATACAATGGAATTCTTGTTAACTTAGGTAATATCATCTCCTTTTGGAGACATTCATGGAGTTGAGGAATAAATAGTTATAATTAATTATAGTTTTCCCTAGTTATGATAAAATATAAGATACATATGAATATAAGAACTGTTATTCTTGTCGGGCAATGGTGGCACACGCCTTTAATCCCAGCACTCGGGAGGAAGAGGCAGGCGGATCTCTGTGAGTTTGAGACCAGCCTGGTCTACAAGAGCTAGTTCCAGGACAGGATCCAAAGCCACAGAGAAACCCTCTCTCGAAAGCCCCCCCCCAAAAAAAAAGAACTGTGATTCTTGCTAGACCAGTTTTTTTATAAGAGATTTCATTATGTCAAAGTTAATCTTTCTCTTTTATTTAAAAAAAAAGGGAAGGTGTTTTGGAAGGTCATGAATATTTTTATTCATCTGTGATATTTTTTATTGCAGGAGCAGTGAAGAAGATATCCTAACTAAGGAAGCCATTTTAGGGTTGGCAAGAGTCTTGGCTCTAGAGGGGTTTGCAGGTGTCCAAGAGGATTTCTTCAGCTAGGTCTGTGGGCAGCAGAGGTGAGGGTACCTGAACTCGCCTTCTCCAATAGCAACACTGATGAATATCTTGCCTATCACCATAGAAACTTCATCTGGATAGGGATGGAGATGGAGACTGAGACCCAACTTGGGGCACTGAACTGAGCTCCCAGATCCCAGATGAAGGGCAGAAGGAGGGAAGTTGTATGTGCTGCGGGCTGTGTTCCATCCGGCTCCCAGCCGCCTGGCTAGCTTATGCCCCGAAATAATTACATGGAAACCGTATTTATTTAAACACTGCTTGGCCCATTAATTCTAGCCACTTATTGGCTAACTCTTACGTATTGATCTAACCAAATTCTGATGAAGGTGGGTCATCTTTCTATCTGTTGTTACATTGGTTAGTTAATAAAGAAAACTGCTTGGCCTTTAATAGGACGGAAAATTAGGTAGGTGGAGTAAACAGAACAGAATGCTGGGAGAAAGATGCTGAGTCAGTCAGTCGCCATGATTTCCCATCCTAAACAGCAGCAGGTTAAGATCTTCCCTGGTAAGCCACCTCGTGGGCTATACAGATTATTAGAAATGGGATAAATCAATATGTAAGAGCTAGCCAATAAGAGGCTGGAAATAATGGACCAAACAGTGTTTAAAAAAATACAGTTTCTGCATAATTATTTTGGGGCATAAGCCATGCAGGCAGCTGGGTGCCGGGGACGCGGCCACGCCACTCCCTCAAAACATTTCTGATATTCTGTGTAGCCCCATGAGGTGTGGCTTACCAGAGAGATCTTAACCTGCATCTGTGTCTGGTGGGAAAATCATGGAGACTGCTTGACTCGGCTTCTTTCTCCCAGCATTGAGTTCTGTTTACTCTGCCTACCTAATTTTCTGTCCTCTCAAAGGACAAAGCCAGTCTCTTTATTTAACCACTGAAATGAATACAAAACAGAAGACTCTCCCCATCAGAGGGAGAACATGAGTAAGGAAGTCAGGACTGTGAGGGGTGCATCTACCCATGCAGACAGTGGGCCTGTTCTAATGAGAGCTCACCAAGACCAGCTGGACAGGCTCTGAATGAGCATGTAATCAAACTGGACTCTCTTAATGTGGCTGACAATAAGGATTAACTGAGAAGCCAGTGATAATGACATTGGATTTTGATTCTACTGCATGTACTGTCTTTTGGGGAGCCTAGTCTGTTTGGATGCACACCTTCCCAGATCTGATTGTAGGGGGGCTTGGACTTCCCACAAAGCTGGGCACCCTGACTTCTCTTATGTCTGGAAAGGGAGGGGGAGGGTGTGTAGGGGAAGCTGGGGGGAAATGGGAGGATGGGATGAGATGGAAATTATAAATAAATAAATAAATAAATAAATAAATAAATAGGCTAAAAAAGTGTTATGGAGTGCAGTCCCCATAAATACATCTACAAAATACTATCTGAGCTAAAGCTCAGGTAAAATTTGAACGTCTGATGGCAGTGGTAGAAAGATTTTTAAGAGCCAGATAAACAGGGAGTTATCTGCAAGCCTGTTTCTTTGTGTTGCATGAGTTCTATTTGGAATTGATAATAAAAACTCGGAGCCAGACATAGGGTAAATGCTGAAAGATCAGAGAGACAAAGCAGCAAGTCACAATTAACTCTTACCTTGCTAACACCTCAGAAGAAAAAGAGGCTGATCTCCTACCTCCTCCTACCTTATTTTCCTCTCTCCATCCTTTCTGTCTCTACAGGCCTCCAGACCTCTATGGTTAATTAGTAGCTAGCTCTGCTCTCTGATCTTAAGGCAAGCTTTATTTTTTTAGAACACAAGCAAAATATCACCACACCTTTGAACTTAAAAATTTAACTGTCGCCGGGCGGTGGTGGCGCACGCCTTTAATCCCAGCACTCGGGAGGCAGAGGCTGGCGGATCTCTGTGATTTCGAGACCAGCCTGGTCTACAAGAGCTAGTTCAAGGACAGGCTCCACAGAGAAACCATGTCTCGAAAAAAACCAAAAAATAATAATAATAATAATAATTTAACTGTCCTACTATCCTTTAGTGAGTTGAAAATATTGGAACTTTACAACTTATTCTAACTTTTCTTTCCTGTAGACCACTTCTTTTCAATGAGTATTATCTTTGCAAACAGAAAAATACCTTTAGCTTTTTTGGTATAAAATATTGTTGACAATATTTTCTGCTATTTTCAACACTTATTTGACCTTTGTATTTGTAGGTTATTTTCTCTGACTGCATTTTAGATTGATAGATTTTTGTACTTATTATCTTTGATTGCTCACATTAGCCTGTTTTGTTTGGTTGTTTAGCATTTCAGCATTCTGTTCCACTGTCTAACTTCCTGATTCTTATGGGACTTACAGTTGTTTACTAGGTTTTTCTGCACATAATGTTAGTGTCTGTTTTGTTTCCTTTCATATTTTCTCTTATTTTCAGCAGTCTGATGAAGTTTGTTCGAAGTTATATAAGTCACCATGGTAAAACCTGGCACCAAATAACAATTTACTGAACCTGCTTTGTTCCTCATATCAAATGGAAGCAAACATTTTGAAGAGCTCTTGATGGGGCAATCTTCCAGTTGAGAACCACAAAGTGATATTACTTGTGGCTAAAAGAAACAATGATACTACCTAGCCATATATTTTTTAAGATATTATGACCACCAAAATAAGGGATAAAATGGTTAATCTTTTTACCATTATTTGACAACAGTTGGAAAAGATTTGTCGCCAAAAAACAATATTTACTGAAGAGTAATAGATTAAATAATAAACTCCACATAATTAATTTCTTGAGATATTGGGTAAGCATTTCATAACATGCAATAATCCACAGTTTTAACTTAAAGAATAAGAATGATTAGGAATTGTAAACATAAAGATAAATGTCTTTAAAGACCTGATAAATTAATACAAGAATTATAACAAATAGGTAAAATTTGCTAAAAACAGAAAAACATTTAGTACTATTTCAAATAAAGTTACAAAATATCATGCTGAAGTCTGTGAAGATCCTTCTAATTATAAATACATCAGCATCATATTCATAGTCAGGCATGTTATCTGAATGCAAACCATCTAAGCCATCGTCTACCCATTGGAGAATATGTGGAGTGGCAAGATATGGAAGCACGTGCAATGGTATATAAACTTCTGTGTTACACTTTTTTGTTTCAATGAGCATATATTGTGATATTTTTGTGACTTAAAATTAAGCAATGCAAACAAACAAACGAACAGAGAATGGAACAATAAATTCATGTTTGATGCAGTCTAGACACAGAAAATGGTGGGTACAGTAAAGTTTGTAACAGAAATCGCTGGTTGCCTACTCTGGCACTTTCTTACTGTCTCAGAGTTAAGAACGCTAATTAGGAAGAAATACATATCTCCTCACCTAAATTTGAGGGATTAAAATGTGATCACGCTTTTTTTTGTTAAGCTGAAGTACATTTTCAGAAAAAAAAGAATGTAGAAATCTTTTCAGTCTTGTAGAGAACAAAACGATTGTCCTTTTGCTATTATTTCACATTCTCCTGCTCATGCTGGGCTTTTGAATGAGATGATTTTTTTGTTGTTGTGTCCTGTAATGTTTCTATTATCTCATTTTTTCTGCCTCTGTTCTCTCTTTTCCAGCATATTCTGATTCCACAGAATAATCTACGATGAATGTTTTAACTCAGCATTCTTCAAAACCAGAACCCTCCATATGAGATCTGAGCCTCTCTAAATCAGGTATTCCCTTAAAGCATTGACTTCCAAGCTTTATACTCCTTTTAAAATATTGTTAACCAGTGCCAGTTTTTCTTGTTGTAATTGTGGTTTTTTTGTGCTGTTTCTGCTCTTTGAGGTCCCAGATTAGCAAAATGGATGTTGCCTTTGTTTTGCCATGTTTCTTTTCACTCTTTTACTCAATTTTTCTTTCATTATGTACCTGTATTTTTCCATTTAATACATCTTAAGTTTCTTACCTGTCTGTTGCTGTATATGCTATGCTAGCAAAAGCCTGTATGTTTGCATTGACCCAAAGCTTGTCATCATTGAGTATGACATCTTTCTATTTAACAAGAGGGTCTAGTTCTGTACTTTGTATAACATAGGCTACCTGTCGACACATTCCCCTCCCATGGTTCACACATGATCATCTTCTTTCTATTATTGGTGTACTTACTCTGTTTCTAATTTGATACATTTTCTGTAGAATATGCCCCTGTCGAATCTAATTACTGTGATGAAATGTGCTCTCTGTGTTGGCAATGTGTCAACTGAATTAGTAAATTTGTACCTCCTTTCATTAATGCAATTTTTTTCTTGTCTCGTCTTTTGTTTCATAGAGATAGATGTCAGAGAAAAATAGAACCAGAGCAGAAAAATGTTACTCTTTACATGACATACCTTCTTATACATATTTATGAGGAAATGTACCTTGTGGAAATGATTTGGTCTTAATATTGCCAACATATTTTTAGCCATAAGATCTATATAAAACTGAAATGGCTTCTCTCCTTCCCTTTGAGCATATAAAAATATCACCACAGAAATGGTGATGATCACCTATATTACTGCTGATGCAACACAAAGCAGAAAGAGCACAGAGTGATGTTAAAATGATCACCACACCTATGAGGTCTCACAGTACTTACTTCCTTATGCTTCTGCTTAATTGAAGCATATTCATTCAAATTAGAATCCAAAGAATTCTTTCCTCTTCTATGACTGGTGTGATAAATCTAGAAATCCCTTTGTCTTAATCAATAGAGGCTATGAACATTCCCTGGAATGGCCAACAAAACTTTGTAGCTACAATTATGTTCATGATTTTGAGATGTGCAAGTGATTGTGTACTATTTAGATTAGCCCTCTCAGTATACTCACAGAGGTCTTTATTGAGATGATAAGGGACCTAAAAGATAATGTAAGAAACACAAGCATTCACTGAAAAGGCAGGAAGTCACCCGTCTAATAATATGACATCCGTATGGACTCCTGAACAAAAGTCGCAGAAAACAAGGGGCTGAACAATACCTTGAACAACATTCTTCCATCGAGATGAAGACTTACTTTTGCAATCAATCCTTTTTGCAATGATACAACATAGGATCACAAAGCTTATGGAGGCTAAGTTGCTGGAAGGATAAAATCTACATTTTCGAGTGTAAGAGCATCCCAGCAAACACACGGATCAC